CCTTATACCATACACAAAAATAAACTCAAAATGGATCAAAGACTTAAACATAAGACAAGATGTGTTCCATTTCTGAAAGATTAAATTTCTATGTAGGTGTTAATCTGACTGTGTGATAAATAATTAAAGTAAGTTATCAGGATTTGGGCAGGCATCTGACTAAGCCCTGGTTAAAAGATTGAAGTTACTGAAATACAGAGAGGAGATGCTAAAATAGTCAGACTGTCAGTTACCCCTTGGCTTTAAACGGGATGGCTGAGGAATCAAAAAACACAAAAACAAAGCTCTAAGGGGATAGAATTCAGGTATGAGAATGCTCTAAATATTAAGCTGAGTTTATACCTAGAGTTAGTTTAGAAATTTATTAAAGAAAACCACATTTCTCAGACCCACAGTTGTCTACATCAGGTCTGACACAGAACAGAACAAATGGACAAATGCCTAATCTTACCATATGAGATTTAGAAAAAATCAGAAGGGTCTTTTAGACATTTTAAAATAAAAAAACAAATTAAGCAACTAATCTGCAGCACTGTACCAGGTACTAAAAAAAAAATATCAGAGACAATTTCTAACCATTAAGAGTTAAAATTTTTTTTAAAGTTCAGTTACAGCAATATTATCTCTCTTAATGAAGTAATTGACCCTCAACCACAATTAACTATCAAAACAAAATGAAATTTTGTCACAAGAAGTTGGAGCCCTGTAGGAAGTTTAGGAGGTTAAATTCCCGAAGCAGGATGTTGTAACTATCACCCTTCTTCCATTTCCAGACCATTCATGGGGGCTGGATAGGTGGCAGATTGCTAAACCTGCACACCCAGAACGTGATTAAAAGTTTTATTCAAAGAAAACTTTTTAAAGTAGCATAGCTTTTATGAATTTTGGAATGGAGAGGAGGTAGGAAAAGGCAGCCTCATTGAAGTCTCTGTACTCCCCAAGGCAGAAAGAAGTGAGATGAGGTGAAAAGAAAGTGTATTTTTAAAAATTGACAAAGAAAAAGAAAAACAAAAAGAAAATAACTTTTGTTAATTTGCATTGTGGAAAGTTGACTTATGGAATGATAGGTGTTTGCCAGGTGGACTGGGATGGGAGAAATGATGGCACTGCAGGCAGAGGAAGCAGGGAGGAACAGACATGTGCAGAATGGCATAGAAGCAGCCCTGCTTGTCTCAGAAGAGCGAGCAGTCTGGGGTGGCCAGAGCACATGTAGGAATGCAGCGTCCATTGCTGCCTGGGATCTGACCATGGAGAAGGCTTAGACCAGTGCTTCTCAAACCGAGGTTCACATAAATCTCCTGAAGATTTGTTAACATTCAAATTCAGGGAGGGGACTTGAGAGTCTGCTCTTCTAAAAAGCTGGAATATGATCCAGATGCTCTGGTCCACAGACCGCACTTTGAGTAGTAAGACTGTAAGTTTTATCCTAATGCTTATTGGTGCTTTGTTTCATGGATTATGAGTTGCCACTGTTTAGTTAGTAATTACTGAGTAGCACAAAGCACATGGCATTTCTGTTAAGCTAGATGTTAATTTGATATAAGTTTTGCTCTGCTGATGGTGAAATAATATTCTGAGCAACTTCGTTGCCAAGTATAGAAGAAGAAAATCATTTAGGTACAAGCTCTCATCCTTCATTGTGTTAGTTGAATAAGGGGATGCAATATAATAATGGAAAGAATCTAAAATTTGGAATCAGATTTCTAGACCTGGGCTTCAGTATCAGTGTTAGGACTAGATAACTGTGACTTTTTGAAGATAAATTAACTTGTATTTTTTGTTTGTTTTCCTGTACCTGAAATAGTTATAATACTTGCCATTTGTAGAACTGTTGTGAGGATTAGAAATGACGTGTATAAAGTACTATCATAATCCCTGTAGGGGAAGACTAATGGGGGTTTCAGTTATCAAACTTTTGATCTAGTTCTGGGAATTATTGGTCTATATGTGATTGTTTACCCCTCTACTTTTTGAGTCTTTTTCTAAGTGATTCCTGGCAAGTTGGAGAGCGGAGTTTTTTGTGGTTTTAAATGCTCCCACCACTACCCCACCCCCAGATCCCCTTACACTCACGGTGGGTAACATGGTTGTTACAGAGGGGAGTCTGCTGTACTTCTGGATGCTGTAGAAGCATGAAGAGACAGGTTGGAATGTAGTTTTATCTGATTTTTATAGTTCTTTTTTCTTATTTTTAAGTATTTCTTGATTATGGAAGTTTCCTATATAACTTTCCACTTGCACTTTGCTGTGGAACAGGATTATCCCTCTTCCAGGGGGAGAAAGTAACCCAGCCAATTGCTCAGTCATTATTCAAGCCTACAGAGGGGCATGCCAGTTTGTGGTACTCCCTCAGGAGAATGGAACTGAGGGAAGAGCCCCACAAAGCCCTGGAAGTAGATTTGAGGCCTTGTAGGCAGGAATTCTGAGGGTTGTGGTGCCCAGACTGCAAAGAGGGATGTGGACTGTGGGTGGGCACAGCTTTTTGATCTTACTGACCCCTCACCTGTCCCCTGTTGGGGACAGTTACAGCCAGAGGTGGGCCAAATCAAGGCCCTCTAGAGCCCAGGACAAAGTCCCAGGTTGTTGGGCAGGAGAGTATTAAGGAAATCAGTATTTAATCTTAGCTGCCTTTTTTTGATACTAGTCTGTTTATTTAGCTTTCTTACTTCATGACTGTGATATACTCTTATTTGTGCTTGAGTTTTTAATGGATGATACAAGAAAATTGTTAGGGTTTTATTTATAGTTCAGAGATGGAATAAGTCTCAGTGATTAAAAATGTTCTTAGCTTAAACACGGTCTTGCTAGTAGATTTTATTATGAACTTTTCTCTGACGCTGTGCCTTGTCCTTATGTTTTGTTTTTTTAGATCGGCTTCAGCTCCCCAGGAATATGATTGAAAACAGCATGTTTGAGGAAGAACCAGATGTGGTGGATTTAGCCAAAGAGCCTTGTTTACATCCTCTAGAGCCTGATGAGGTGGAATATGAGCCCCGGGGTTCACGACTGCTGGTGCGGGGTCTTGGTGAGCATGAGATGGATGAGGATGAAGAGGATTATGAGTCGTCCGCAAAGCTGCTGGGCATGTCCTTCATGAACAGAAGCTCAGGCCTTCGGAACAGTGCAGCCGGCTACAGGCAGAGCTCAGATGGCACTTGTTCAGTCCCCTCTGCAAGGACCATGGTGGTCTGTGCTTTTGTTATTGTGGTTGCTGTTTCCGTAATCATGGTGATTTATCTACTGCCCAGATGTACCTTTACCAAAGAAGGCTGCCATAAAAAAAACCAGTCAATGAGACTGATTCAGCCATTTGCGACAAATGGGAAGTTGTTCCCATGGGCACAGATCAGGCTTCCCACTGCCATTATGCCAGTACGCTATGAACTTAATCTCCACCCAAACCTCACCTCGATGACATTCAGGGGCTCTGTGACCATTTCCCTCCAGGCTCTTCAGGCCACATGGAATATTGTTCTTCACAGCACAGGCCATAATATTTCAAGAGTGACCTTTATGTCTGCAGTTTCAAGCCAAGAAAAACCAGTTGAAGTCCTGGAATACCCATTTCATGAACAAATCGCCGTTGTTGCCCCCGAAGCCCTTCTTGAAGGGCACAATTATACCTTGAAGATAGAGTATTCAGCAAATATATCTAGTTCTTACTATGGGTTTTATGGCATCTCCTACACAGACGAAAGTAATGAGAAAAAGTATGTAGCCCTCTTACATGATTCTGCTGCTTTGCTCTCTGATGACTTCTGCAATATGAATCCCTTTGCCCACACCAGAGACATTAACGGCAATTTTTTTTTAATTTAAGAGGTTATGTGCAAAATAAGTAGAACGATGATTCAGAAGGGTGTACTATTTTTCCTGAGTGAAAGCCTTGAGCATATATCACATATATCGTATGTCATGGTGGGGGTGGGGGCATGCTTATGGAAGGACGTGGATGAAGATTATATCAGTTACATTCTCTATCCCCAAAACTTAAGTTATCTTGAGCTTTTCATATATTCTAACATGAATCTAGTTTTTTTGTCACATTACAAGCTCTCGATGGGAAGCAGAGTAAGGAAAAATATGGATTATTCTTTAGGACTTATTTTCCTATTGTGTGGAACTTTTAGGAGGTGCTAACTGAGGTGGAGAAAGAAAGCGTGAAGTGTTGTATATGTACAGATATCATTTTTAGTGTCTTTAATCTTTGCTGGTTTATTTTTAATGCCATTCTATTTTGGGTTTCTGATGGAAATTTTTTAAAAATCTAGGAGAGACCTAATGTAATTTTTTTAAAAAGTGACTTAAAACATAAAAGAATTCAGCTGTCTATTTAGACCATATACTTTATATTTTAGTCTTAGTGTTCATGGCTGTAGTTTTAATTTCTGGAAAAATGCAGTTCACAGTACATACATGTTATTCTTAAGTACCAGTAATGTCAGTCCTCTTACGTGTACGAAGTCCTTGTCAGATCGTCTGAATGCATTGGAGCATTCTCTCGTATTCCTTTGTAACCCAGTATGTGAATTTCTCATGCTTGCCATTTGGCTAATGTATGTTGGTGTACTGAGAAAAAAAGAAATGAATACTTTAAATCTATCTTAAGTTTTTTGATCCTTCTTAAGTGGAGAAAGACACAAAGCAAGATCTGTAGTCCTATTCAGATAATTTTTCTCTTTCCCCTTGAAATACTTTTAAAATAAAGGACATGCTGGCTCTTGCCATCAGATCTGACATGAACAGCAAATTTATCACTGCAGTGGTAGTTTGGGCCTCCTGGCTTTACCTCTCCTTCTATAATCTCCATCATCTCTAGAAATTATAGGATATACATAGAAATAGTGTTCTTAGTATGCAAACAGACCTTTAAGGTAAATCCCCTAGTCATCTCTTGCAGTCAGATTGTTGCCCTTGGATTGTCTTGGGCCTACCTAGCTGAAATGGGAAGAATGAATGTTGTCTGGCAGAGTCAGGTGGTTTTAGATATGATCACTTGTTGACTCTTGCTGTGGGCTGGATTGAGTTGTGGAAGATGATAGAAATTTGAAAGACAGGTTCTTAAAATTGAGAAATGAAGTAATTTTTTTTAAAAAATAGTACTTTAAAATCTCTTAAATTAGTCTGTGAAACTCTGCTATTAAAAAATACATGAATCCATTAACTTACCTGGTTCAATAAAATGAATGCCCCACATGACTGTATATGTTGATACAAGATAAAATTTAGAAGATTATTTATACCTTTCAAGAGATCTGAAAACTAATTCAAAGCAAGTAAACACAGTAATTAAGAGATACATTCCTTATGGATTAGAAAATCAGAGTATGTGTAAATGTCAGATTTATCGACATTGCTTAGGGTAAGGGACTTTACCTATGTCATCTAAGGGGTGGAGATGACCAGTAACCTTGCAGTTAAATCTAGAAGTTGTTGACAATAGACTTAAAGTTCTGTATAACAAACTGATACCAAAAGAATTTAGTGAACAAATTTAGGATGGGGATGTGTTTTATTTCTTTGTCCTTCAATCTCTCGGTGTCTTCCTTGAACTCTTGAAGCATCCTCCTAACTGGACCCCTCACCTCTGATCTTACCACAGCTTTCCCCATCCTCTTGTCCTCATCTTTCGTGCTGCTGCCAGACTCGTATTTCTAGAAGTGCAGATCTGACTGTGTTGGTCTTTGGTCTACGATCCTTCAGCAGATCCTCATTCCTCACAGGATTTAGATCAAGAGTTTTCAAAATGTGGGCCGCTGTTTGTTGTTGTTGTTGTTGTTTTCATTCTCACAGCCCTCACCTGCCTTAATGAACGTCATGTGCACTTTCCTGAATTCCAGTGATAGTGGCAGCCAATATTTACTTGAGAACTTAAGTGCTGGAAACTGTTCCAAGCATTTTATATGTTTAGTCTTCCAACCTGTCAAACTCACTAAGAATTGCATAGTTATGTTTTATTCATTTTACAGATGAAGAAGCAGAGGCACATGAAGTAACTCATTCAACACCTTATGGCTAGACAGTAGCAGAGGGGGAACTCAAACCCAAACTCATTTTAACCACAAAGGTCACATTCTTAACCACTATGGTGTAGTGCCTCCTTAGTTCCCACCTCTTCTCCTTTTCCCACTGTTACCTCCAGTGCTTAGAATTCTCTTACCTCAGCTTCAGCTAATTCGTAATTGTCTTCAGTGCTACCAGAGGTCGTGCTTAACCTGCACCTAGTATTTCTGAAAGCAAGTCATTGATGAAAGACCAAGCTGCAAGGTATTCCGCTTAGATGGGATAGATTACAAGTATCATTGAGCAGCTGCCTTCTCAAAGGGATTTTTATGTAAGATAGGTATTATTGCATCTCTTTTAACAGTAATTTTAGATTTTACTTGTCTTAGAACATTATGATCCAATTTTTGTCCAAAACGATGGTCCAAGTAGACACTCATCTGAATAGCGTGGATGTCACGAAACCTTATCCCCTGGTCCTTTGCGGCCCTCTTCCAAAATCTTCTGTTAACTGGGTAAGAATTTGGGAGTGGGGTGAAGCAATGGAATGTTAGAAACATAATATGTTTAAATTGTTTCGTGTATGTTGATTGCTATCATTTTTCCAGCTTACCCTAAGAAGCAGTTATTTGGGCAAATTTTTACCAGGACAAAAGTATAATAATTTTAAGTATGAAAGTAGAGTTATGACTATCTAACTTTTATAATAAACACCTGTTTAGGACTTTGTGCCATACAAGTAGTTGTTACTAGGAATAGCCTTTCTTGATTCTAGTAAAAACCATGTTTGGTAGGGGATTCTATCTAGATCCTCATTTAACAAATAAGGAAGTGAGATATAGGTCACTGAATTGCCATCAGTCATACGGCGGGTACATTGCAGAGTTTGGGTCTTCTGACTCCAAATCTCACACTCTGTTCCTCTTGTTTTTTAAAGGTGGAAACTAAGTCCACAGCAAATGAGGCCATCATGTCCAAAGTGATCATTGTGGATGTACCATACTGACTGTGCACACCAGGACCATGCTTGTCCTGATTACTCTATGGCCATGTTTGGGTGATTTCCCAGATGAAGATATTTTTTATTCCTTTGCTTAACTATAAAATGCATTTCTCTTCTTTTTATTCTTTTCTCCCAATTTTAATTGAGAACTTAGAATTAAATTCTCAAGTGTCATTGCTGTGCTGTAGGAGGGGGAGGAAATGTTTTATTCATTTCTAACAAGAGTAAAGGAAACCAGCATACTGCAGGACCCCTAGTTTTTTCAGTTGTCTTGAAAGTACCGGTTGCAAGTTGGAGGTATAGTGTTGTGAAGCCAGTCTATGTAGATGACCAATGCCAATGATGACCATCTCCCACACCAATCTTTCTTCAGAAACTTTTTTTTAGACCTCAGTGGCCAGCTGCAGCCTACCTTTGTGGCTTCATCTCCAGCCACACTGGATGGCCACCCCACTCCCTGAACATGTACTGATCTTTCCTTGTGCTTCCTCTTCTTTCTAGAGTGTACTCTCTTCCCATCTCTACCTTTCCACATGTTCCTCATATTTAAAGGCCCTCTTCAGATTTTGTCACCAGGTTCCTTACAGTGTCTCCAACACTAGCCAGAATTTGTTTCCTACTCTTTGTTTCCATTGCTTTGTTCTCACTGTTAAGATGTGATTTGCATCCTGACAAATTTCTGCCCATCATATAACCTCTGCCTCTCCCAGTGGCCTGTGGCTTCTTCAGTGGCTGGGATTGTGTGATGTTGATCTTAGTATCCCTAGAACTTGGCAAGGTACCTTGAATAATAGGTGCTCAATAACTATTGGATGGATTTGCATTTGTTTTAGGTACTTTGCAGCAACTCAATTTGAACCCTTGGCAGCAAGATCTGCTTTTCCTTGTTTTGATGAACCAGCATTTAAAGCCACATTTATCATCAGGATCATAAGGGATGAGCAATACACTGCTTTATCAAATATGCCTAAGGTACTGTTCTGTTCCTTGACTGTAAATCTTTTAGTGGGACTCTTTCTTTGTTATAAATACTTGGATTCTTCTTTGCCATACTGTTGAGAATGATTAAAATCATATACATTCTTAATCCTTCTTAAACTGCTTAAATAAACCTAAAATATGTATTGGAATCAATTGAGAAGTCAGCCTCAGGAGCACTTGAGGAAAGAGAAAGACGGGATGTGGAATGTACGGGCAGGAAATGTGAAGTGTGTACTGCGTACTGAAGTCCTGCAAGTATTAACACTATGAACTACTACTAAAGAGCACAGTGGTGTTTTCTGAGATGTGGTGAAATTTGCTATTCTATTTGATAGAGTTGAATCATGACTGACCTTGGTGTTTTACTGGTTACTAAAAAACCAGTACTGTAACATGGAGGTTTACCAACCAGAACATGAACCTCTTTCTTGGATGTGAGCTCTGCTTGGGAAGCAGTGAGATTGAACGAGGCAGAGTTGTTTTTATGCTAAACAGAGCTGAGGGGATCCTTTTGTTACATCTGAGAGCTGTGTGCAGCCTGATGGGAGCCTCTCAGAGTCCGTGCAGCTGGTGGGGAGGAGCACCCACATCTGACGACTATGCAGTCACCCCTGTGGGCAGGAGAGGACCTGGTGTGTCCTTCAGCAGCTCTGCTCCTAGCCATACCCTTCTCCTTAACCTTCCTCTGAGAATTCGAATGCTTACTTGCCTAGTAATCCAAAACATTTTAAATTCATGGCTGGAAAATACTGCAAAGTTGCCTGCATTCCCTCATCTTGCACGTACTGCAGACTCAGCACCTTTGATCCCACTTAGCCTTCTTGTGGTCAACAACACTGTACTTTACAAAATCATTTCAGAGCATTTGGAGGGATAAACCGGCTGTAGCTGCTGCTTTTGTGAATGTATTTTTAACAGTGGAGGGGAGTACTCTTAGGTCATAAGGAAGGGATTTTAGTATTGGTGGTGTGTTAAAGAGGAGAAACAGAGCCACTGTTACTTACTGTCTCTAACTTACATTTATTTGAAGCTACTTTTTGAGACTAAAAACTTCTTAAGGATATTTACTATACTCAGTATGTCCTTATGATGAAAGATGGTGGAACATACCGAGACTGTGGTCCATGCTGTTTAGAAACTTGTGCTGAGAAATTAAACTATGCCAACATCTTCACTTTGTATTTCTTATTTGAATTTTCAGTTTCTCTGTTTGTTTGTCACTGTCATATATTCTCATAGTTACGGAACTGTCATTTTCCCCTTTGCTTGTAGAAGTCGTCAGTCATTATGGAAGATGGACTTGTTCAGGATGAGTTTTATGAGAGTGTGAAGATGAGCACTTACCTGGTTGCTTTCATTGTGGGCGAGGTGAAGAACCTGAGCCAGGACATAAATGGAACCCTGGTATGTTGTTGTGGTAATTGTCTTGAAAGCCTGTTTTATAAGAGGTCAAGAGGAATTCTTTCATGATTTCTGGTAACTGCTTTGTGAAGGAAAACAAACTTCTGAATCACAACTTCTGACACTTTATACCAGAAATATTACTGTTTGCTTAGCTGTTATGTACTGTTATTAATTGAATACCTGAAAATCAGTAACTTTTAAGTTTCCTTGAATTTTATTTTTATAAGAGAATTTCAGTAAGACAGTATATGTGTAACAAAGCCTCTAGAACTGAGCTGTACAATGTGATGGTCACTAACTTTAAGTGACTATTTAGACTTAAATTAATTAAAATTAGATGACAGCATCATGGCTGAATAAGATGTCTCTTATTCATGCCTCCCTCTCATTCTCCTCTCCCAACAACAACAATTTGGTGTCTATCCATGGACAGAAAGGCTTTTGTGGAAGCTGTGTGGTCCAGCACTATATGCTAAGGAGCCTGGGAGGAGTCTTGCCCTTTCATGCATCAGGTACTAAGCATACAGACCTTGGACCTGGCCTTAGGCCCTGTAGTAGCCCATGAAATGACTCTAGTCCCCTCAGCAGTGGTCTGGGAGGTCCTGAAAAATAGTCCTAGGCAATCATACTTGAATAAGAGAGCCCTTGTGATCATACACATCTCCAACAGAAAAGTTCCAGCATGCTGCTGAAGCCAAAAATATGCATTTGGATGCATTGAAGAGAGCACTTAGTAAAGACCAGAGGAGGCGACTGATACTTCAGATGTGAAGACAGCAAATCAACAATTTAAGGGACATGAAAAATCAAGGAAACATGACATCACCAAAGGATCCCGGTAATCTTCTAGTAACTGATACCAAAGACATGGACATCTGCAATTTAACCCAATAAAGAATTCAAAATAACCGTTCTAAGGAAACTTGATGAGTTACAAGAAAACACAGAAAGATATTTTAATGAAATCAAGAAACAATGCATGAACAAAATAAGAAGTTTAACAAAGACATAGAAATCATAAAAAAAGAACCAAACAGAAATTCTGGGCCTGAAGAACAGTGAATGAAATGAAAAGTGCAATACAGAGCATCAACAGAAGAATCAATCAAGCAAGAAAAAGAATTTGTGAGTTAAAAGGCAGGAAATTTTATTTTATCTTGTCAGAGGAGAGCAAAGAAAAAAGGATGAAGAAGAATGAAGAAAGCCTGTGTGATTTGTAGGGTACCATCAAAAGAAACAGTCTGAATTATTGGAGCTCCAGAAGGAGAACACAGGGAGATGGGGACAGAAAGCTTACTTAAAGAAATAATGGCTGAGAACTTCCCAAATCTGGGGAAAAATTTGGATATCCAATTTTATGAAGCTCATAAGTTACCAGACAAATTCAGCTTAAGGAAATCTTCTTCAAGACACATTATAATCAAACTGTCAGAGGTAAAAGCATCAAAGGAAAAGAAGCTCATAAATTACTGGGAATGCCCATACGTCTATCTGGATTTCTCAGCAGAAACTAGAGAACAAGAATCAAATGATATATTCAAGGTGCTGAAAGAAAAAAAATTGCCAACCAAGAATGCTCTATCAAGCAAAGCTATCCTTCAGAAATGGAGATAAAAACTTTCCTATACAAAAAGAAAAGCTGAGGGAGTCCATTACCACTAGACCTGTCTTACAAGAAATGCTAAAAGAAATACTCCAGCTGAAATGAAAGAACGCTAATGAGTAACGTGAAAACATACAACATGCTGGAAAAGGTAAGCACATACTAGAACTCAGAATGCTCTAATATTGTAATATAGTGATGTATGCATTCTATGGTATGTATCAAAAGCAGTTCTAGAGGGAAGTTTAGAGTGGCAAGTGTCTACATTAAGAAAAAAGAAAGATCTCAAATAATCAACCTGACTTTACACCTCAAGGAACTTCAAAAAGAAGAACAAACTAAGCCCAAAATTAGTGGAAGGAAGGAAATAACAAAGATCAGAGCAGACAAACGAAATAGATACAAGAAAAAGAGTAGAAAGGATCAACAAAACTGAACAAGAACTGGTTTTTTAGAAAGATAAATGAAATTGACAAACATTTAGCTGAGTAACTAATAAAAAAAAAGACTCAAAATTAGAAATGAGGAGGAAACATTTCCACTGATACCACAAAAATACAAGGATCATAAGAGCCTACTATGAGTAATTATAGGTGAAGAAATTTGATAACCTAGAAGAAATGGATAAATTCCTGGGAGCATACAATCTACTAAGACCAAATCATAACAAATCTGAACAGATCAGTAATGTGTAGAGAGATTGAATTAGTAATCAGAAACCTCACAACAAAGAAAAGCCCAGGATCAGATGGTTTCTCTGGTGAATTCAACCAAATATCAAAAAAAATCTATCTATATCTATAGATAGATATAGATAGATATTGATAGATTCAGTGCAACAGAATTACAGTGGCATTTTTTCATAGAAATAGGAAAAAGCAATCCTAAAATTTGTGTGAAACCACAAAGACTTTGAATAACTAGAGCAATCTTGAGGGGGGAAAAGTTGGAGATATCATATTTCCTGATTTCTAACTATACTACAAAAATTAAGTGATCAAAATAGTATGTATGGTAATCAAAAGACTATGTTACTGGCAGAAAAACAGATACATAGACCAATGGAACAGAATCAAGAACCCAGAAATAAATTCCTTCAAACATGGTCAACTAATATTTGCCAAGGGAGCCAAGAATACTCAACAGGGAAAGGATAGTCTTTTCAATAAATGATGCTGGGAAAACTTGGTAATCACATGCAGAAGAATAAAACTGGACCCTTATCTTACACCACTCACAGTAATTAACTTGAAAGGGATTAAAGACTTAAATGTAAAACTCCTAGAAGAGGACATAAAGAAAATCTCTTTGATATGGGTCTTGGCAACAATTTTTTATATATGGCACCAGAAGCACATACAACAAACGTCAAAATCAACAAGTGGAACTATCTCAAACTAAAAAAGTTCTGCACTGCAGAAGAAACAGTTATCAAAATGAAATGGCAACATACAGAATGGAAGAAAATATCAGATATCATATATGTGATAAGGGATTAATATTCAGAATATTTAAGAAACTCACACAACTCAATAGCAAAAAAAAAAAAATCTAGTTAAAAAATGGGCAGGGGAACTGAATAGATATTTTTCCAAAGAAGACATACAAATGGCCAACAAAAACATGAAAAGGTGCTCAACTTTTCTAATCAGAAGGAAAATGCAAATCAAAATCTCAATTAGATACCACCTCATGCCTGTAAGAATGACTGTCATCAAAATGACAGGAGATAACAAGTGTTGGAGAGGAAGGGGAACCCTTGTGCACCATTGAGGGGAATGTAAATTGGTGCAGCTACTGTGGAAAACAATATGGGGGTTCCTCAAAAGATGAAAAATAGTACTACCAATATGATCTAGCAGTCCCACTTCTGGGTGTATATTCAAAGCATATATATCAAATCAGGACGTCACAGAGATTCCTGCACTTCTATACTTGTTGCAGCATTATTCATAATAATAATATTATTATTCACAATAATAACAACCTAAGGGTCTGTCCATGGATAAATGGATAAAGAAGATGTGGTATATATACACAATGGAATATTAGTCAGCCATGAGAAGGAGGAAATCTTGCCATTTGTGACAGCATGGATGGACCTTCAGGGCATTATGCTAAGTGAGATAAGTCAAACAGACAAAGACTATATGACTGCACTTATGTGTGGAATATAAAAAAGCTGAACTCATAGAAACAGTAGACTGGTGGTTGCCAGGGCCCGAGGAGTGGGGGAAATAGGGAGAAGGTGGACAGAGGGTCCAACTTCCACTTATATGATGAATAAGTTCTGAGGATCTAATGTACAGCATGATTATTATAGTTAACAATACTGTATTAGATATTTAAGATTGCTAAGAGAATAGATCTTAGATATTCTTACTATAGAAAAGAAATGGTAATTATGTGAGGTGATGGAAGTCTTAACTAACGCTGCTGCGGTAATCATTTCACAATATGTCTAAGTATATCTAATGAACACGTTGTACACTTTAACCTTACATAATACTGTATGTTAATTATGTCATTAAAGCTGCAAAAAAATTAAATTTAAAGTTTACTTCTTCAGTCTCAGTAGCTACATTTCTAATGTTCTTGTGGCTGGTGGCTACCATATGGGACATCACAGATATTGAACATTTTCATTGATGCAAAAAATGTTATTGGACAGCATTAAGTCTAGAATGTTGTGCAGACTTAAAAGATAGTGTAAAAATGTAATTAGAAGAAAAACTCCAGTTAGTTGAATACACCTTTTTAAAAAAAGCAAGTCCTGATTGAATTTTCTTCATCTTAAAGAGTAAAATTGTTTAAATGTCTGGTGTATCTGTAATTTGTCAGAATTGGCCATTTGTTCTAATTAGGATCCTCTGCTTTTCTTTGTCATTTGACTCTGTCTGTAAATAATTATTTGATTGGATTTTATGCCTTAATTTCACAGTAGGGACCTAAGAAAGCTAATATCTGTACTGATAATATAGAAGGAGAAAAGGGTCTCTTTAAGCTAAAAAGGATTATTTTTCGTGATAGAAACATGGTGGAATTCTTTTTTTCATATTTTTGATCCCCTCTAGGGAATATTGTCTCCCTTTTGAATACATTTAGTTGTATTTGGTTTCCCTTTCTAGACTAAAGAACTTTATTTTAATCACAATGTATTTGGATCTTACTATTTTGCTAATTAAGAAGGGCATACTCCTTATGTCAGAAAAGGTGATCATATGTACCCCATAACTCTCAGAGATAAGGGCAGAGGTAAGGATTATCTGCTGTTTATCAGCAGTAACACTGCTGTACGGCTTTATGCTCCACATTACAGGATGGAGACCTGTTTGTGTTCAGGGGTAAGTGTAGACTACATTGAGTACGTGCTCAATGTCATTTACTCACCTTTCGG